ATCGTTCAACATCATATCAGAACTTTAAAGTACAAATAAAAAGATGACGTATTATGTTACTTATTTCCGATTGAATACATGTCGTGTACTATTGTAGATTCTCTGCAATGATTGAGACGGTTCTTCAAGAAGTGTGCTTTTTAGAATTTTTTGGATCCACGTTCGTAATATGCTTGCTCGAATACTATTGTATTGTGGTGCGTTTCTGTTATTACTGATTTACATCTTCGACGATGCTTGTTATTTTGCATGTTTAACTTTATTCTATTTATCCGTATCTTTTAACAGGATTGGGAACAGGATGATAAACTTGGTCTGACGACGTATACGTTGCTGCTAATATCCCTGACGTTTAACATGTTCTTATTGTGCTACATTGGCAATCTACTGATCGAAAAGGTATTTTGTTTCGTGTTACGTGGATTTTTTTCACAAAATTTTGTTTGTTATTTATTATTCACACCTCAGAGTACTAACGTTGGAATATCCTGTTGCATGATCGATTGGTACCGTTTGCCAGCAAAGACAGTCCAGGACCTGATTTTAATCATTGCCATGTCGAATAGTCCGGCAAAAATTAGCGCCGGTAGAATAGTCGATTTGTCTTTGACATCCTTTGGAAGTGTAGGTTTTTTTTTACTAATATCTCATCTCATATTTTGCAGTTAAAAATTTACTTGCTAAATTTGACGACTAAACTTCATTTTTCCAGGTTTTAAAAACATCGTTCGCGTATTTAAATTTCATTCAGAAGACCGTTACGTAATAATTCAATGATAGTCCTGTTATTTTTGTTATTTGCATCCGTTCCTCCATTTAAGCGGAACTCTTTTTACGCGAGTCTCTCTTTTTATACGCGATATAAATTCACGCGGCCAGAAAATATATTTTCCTAGGATTTTTAAAAGTAACGATATACATCGATATGAAGTTTACAAGCCGGTTATGATCAGCGATCTGTCAAACACATTCTCAAATTTATGAAATCTTTGCAAAACATGAATCTGAGAACAAATCATCCGAAAAAATTAACAGTAACAATGAAACAATGAAGATAAAACCGAATTTCTAAATATTTCAAGCGATGAGGACAATAAAGTTTGTGGCAATTCAAAAGAAAGAGAGCTTGATTTGAGTTTTAAATTACTTTCGATAGTGACGAATAAAATTTACTTTTGCTTCCTGAAATATTTTGTTTTCGTTATTATTATTTTTTTTTTTTGCTTTTGGATAACCTGTGCGAAATAAATATATATTTCTATATTTCTATATTTTCTTTTCTTTTGTACTCGTTCGCGTAAAACATGGAATGGATACTCCGCGTAAATGAGGGGACGGATATATATTGTAGAATAGTAAATAAACTAATGCTAAATTATAGAATAATA